GGCCCTCCCTTGTGGTACAACAGTTTAAAGCATAGCTCTATGATGCTAGCTATAGTCACTTCAGCATGAGTTTGATCCCCGGCCAGGGATGCGACCTCTCATATCTCACCCCTCAGTAGTGTACTTTGTCAGGCTGCCTGTTCTGCTCCCCACTCTGTCTCTGGTGGATCCTCTCACAGTCCCTACACCTCTGGCCTGTACCCTAGATCTGTATGAATGAATAAATAAATAAATATTTTAAAGTTTATAAAATAGCACATTTTTTTAATGTAGATTGAAGTTTTGCTGCACAAGAAAGGTAATATTTCCTTTTGGTGCTGGTTTACTAGGAGAAAGTGAAATTTGGAAGGATTTTTGCTCATCTCTGAGGCATTCCAACAACTAACTACATTTCTGAACTAAGCTTAAATATATTTTACAACTATATCTTTGTCAAAACCTCTCAGAATTTTTTTTCTAGTCAAATTCTTAAACTGTTACATTTGCCTTGATTACTAATAATCATTCATTTTATAGGAAGCAGACACTTTATAAAGTTGAGTCACTTTAAAAATAATATTATTAAGGTAAAGAGTTACATTTTGCAAAAGAGTAAATAGTATTGTGGATATGTGAATAAATTTTAGCTACATGCATTATTTTTGGATTATTTTCTTATAATATTAAAAAGAAGGCCCCCTTTGTATCATTCCAAACTAAAAGATTATTTATTTACCAGAAGTGGGGGAATATAAATATTCTTTTTTTTAAAGATTTTTTATACATACAAAACTGACTTACAAGCTAGAGGTGCAGAGGCAGTGAGAGCACTTACCAGAGACAGAGTGGGGAGCAGAACAAGCGGACTGACCAGATCCGGACTGACTGCTGAGGAGAGCAGCGGGCGGGTCAGGTGAGGTCTGCTGTGTTGTGGGTCTCCTCCCGGGCTAACTCATGATGAAGTGGCCTTCACTTCTTAGTGTTGCACTTTAATCCGCTTGGCCCCCAGGGGGAACCCTACATATTATTAACAAAAAAAAAAAAAAAAAAAAAACTTGAACAAATAGTTCTTCATGGAGTGGACACATCGACCATCATCTTTATGAAGTCAGCCAATATTCATGCCTACCATAATAGTGAGTCATTCATAATAATTAACAGACCTGTTAATCTTATTATGTGCCTGTAACAAAAATAGAATCTTCCAGCATGAGTTTGATCCCTGGCTAGGGACCTCACACACACATGGCACAGCAGATCTCTCCTGTCTCCCTGCTGCTCCCCTCAACAGTGCACTTTATCAATCTGCCTGTTCTGCTCCCCATTCTGTCTCCTGTGAATCTTCTCACCTCCTGCACCTCTGGCCCACACCCCAGTTCTTGTATACTTAAGTAAATAAATATTAAATAAAATTAAATAAATAAAATTAAAATAAATAAATAAATAAGATCCTTATTAAAGGATTAAATTTAAATAAATAAATTAAATAAATAAATAAATAAACAATGTTCTAAACATATCTGAATTCCAAAACTACTTAAAGGAAATTGTTATTCTCAGTGGTTATTTCATATCTAAGTATCCTTCTCTTGGGGGACCATTGGTAAACATCTTTTTTTCTGCTCAATGGAACGTTTAACTCCAGAGACTCAACCTCAGCTTTGAGAAGTCTTGAGAAGCCATTTTGACCCTACCAAAACTGAAGAAAAATGGACAGATAACTATTTTTTTTTAACTTTATGCCTTAAATCCAGTACAGAACATAAAACACCCTTGCAATGATATCCTTTGTAACAAATATGTCATCTTTAGGGTTCATTCTTTTCCATAGAGTTCTGACAATGCCAAATAAGTTCACTGTTCTTGTTCTGAGAACAATGGAGTTGTGCTGGGACAAGTACCAGGTTGATGTCTCCGCCTAGTTTTCCCTGATAATTGAAGCTGTGTTTCATGCCTGAGGGAGTTGTTTCCATTTCACTGAAGGATCAGAGTCCTTCAATCTCCTTGCATTACTTTTGCTGTGATATAACACTTTAAAAGCTCCCTGGCTGACAACTGTGGCCAGAAGCTGGAATCAGCTGGGAGTGCATCCGAAACTGAAAATAATATCTGTCCATCTATTCACTAAAGGGCAGCCATGTTAGAGTCTTGGAGTGAATTTTAGGATCTTCCTCAGAATGGTAAGTTAGGGAATGTGTAGAAACACACCTTATAATTGACAGATGAGATAAGAAGTCGTAGTCCATCCTATATAAATGCATAGATATAAGAACATTGAGATATGTTCTCCAGATGTCAATTGCTTCTTAACCAGGGGTTGCTTTATTTATTTATTTAAAGATTTATTCATGTATGCTTAAAGAACTTGGGTACAGGCCAGAGGTGTGGTGGGTGAGAAGATTCACTAGAGACAGAATGAATAGCAGAACAGACAGAGTTATTGAAATACACTGCTGAGGGGAACAGCAGGCTGGCCAGCAGAGGTCTGCCACACCATGTGGGTCAGCTCCCTGGTGGGAGATTGAATCGGTACTGCAGTGGCTTTGGAGAGCTTCATAATGCGGTGCTTTAACCTGTTGAGCCGCAGGGGAGAGCCCCTATGTATTTTATTTTATTGATTAAAAAAAATCCAAACTATGTCAAGACTGAGGATGATATTTAAATTCCGTTGTCATGTGGGTACAACAGGCTGTGTTCTCATTGAGTCCCCAGTACAGAGTCCCCAATACAGACTAACTCTAAAGAAGACTGCACAGCTGGAAACATCTTACTTTTTTTCTATGGCCACACTTATGTTCAATTCCCTGGTCTGTATAGCACTTAAGTGTGGACTAGTTAGACAATGGCAAATGAAAAAAAAAAATGTTCAGCCCCCAACCAATCCTGTTTGCATATTGGTCCTGTGAATTATTGTACTTTTTCGTGCTTCTGCTTAGAATTTTTAAGTCTCTGTGCACCCTGGTGAGTAAATGCTGGAAGCCCCCAATCTCTGATTTCAAAGGGGACTTTGTCAATTAGAGAATGCCGATCCCTAAGTTTAAAGAATATCTGAATACGCCTAACAAAACAAAAGTTGTCTAATAATGAAATACCTTGTGGGTTGGGGAAAAAATTTAGAACTAGGGGTTTTTAGGTTCCTTTTCTTGCTACAATCTGAGATCCTTGACACATTCATCCACTTACTTCATTAATACAAGGAGAGAAGAGACAGGATTTGCATTTAAACCTGCTCTTTGGAATCAGTCTCAGATTGCATGTGCTATTGTTAAGTTATGTTATTTTTACCAAGGCAATGCTAGCTATCAATAATAACCCAGTTTAGTTTTTAGACACTTTTGACTTTAAGGAAAGGGGGGCAGAAGGCAATAATATATCAGCATTGATGAATATGGACAAATGCAAAACATCACAAATCTCAGACACTTTTTAAAAATATTTATTTACTTAAGTATACAAGAACTGGGGTGTGGGCCAGAGGTGCAGGAGTTGAGAAGATTCACAGGAGACAGAATGGGGAGCAGAACAGGCAGATTGATAAAGTACACTGCTGAGGGGAGCAGTAGGGAGACAGGAGAGATCTGCTGTGCCATGTGTGTGTGAGGTCCCTGGCCAGGAATCAAACTCATGCTGCAAATAGCTTTACAGTGCTCAGCTTGTTGCACCACCAGAAAGGGACAATAAATAAACACTTTTTTAAGAGAAATGACTATAGGTGGCAATGATCTCTCAAATCTTAGTCATGATAGCCCATGTTCCCCAAAAAGTGGAAGAGAACATTTTATGGAACAAGAAGGCAGAACCCCAAATTGCATATACTAGACTGGGTTAGGGAAACCAGAGTTCCCACTATCCCACTTTTCTCCTTATAATTGCCTCCCCGTTTATTTTGTTTTGTATATGTCAAAACTAGGATTGAAATGAGTTTGAGAAGAAACTTAGATGAAAGGGGAAGTTCAAGAAAAATAAAGATTTGGATGCCAGTGTTAGTAACTTTAAGTAGAAAACAGATGTCCTCTAGTTTTGGAAGTATCACCTATAATTTCTACCTTCCAAAATTGGTGGCCCTAGGAAACTTTAAAACTTGGGGGCTTTGGACCCTGGAGTTAAATGTATAAAACTGCCCTGACTAGATCAGAGTTTTTATGTCTGACATGGGAAAAGTCACAGAATTGCTACAGTTCTTTTAACCCTCATTGAAATTTAATGGCACATACAGGCCATTCTGTTTGAGTGTGTGTGTGTGTTTTGTTGTTGTTGTTGTTGTTTTTCCCCCACAGCATTGATAATTTTGCCTTAACTTACTAATTTGAATAAGTGTTTATTTTCTATTGCTGATTTAAGAAGGATCATACACTCTCACCTACTGATTAAAAAGGATCATACACTCTCTACTCAATTGACCTAAGATAAGCGAATGCCAACACAAACAAAAAAACAAACAAAAAACAGTTATAAAGACAAATTGAAAGCTTACAACGTTTAGTGATATCATTTTCTTTGCATCTTCCTGTTCAACTAAATGAAATGGTTTCTCTTTTAAAAATCATATTCCGCCCTTTTTTCCAAATCAGTGTTTTATAATCTTGACCTGGTTTGCTCCTTACGAGAGAGCAAAAATATGGTCTAGTATTAAAAAATATTTAAATATATAAGATAACTCCCCAGTAACAGTCATCGAGCCCAAAATGTCAGCAGTGATGAGGTTGAGAAAACCTAATCTGAGTTAGTTCACATTAAAAATATGGATCTGTGTTGTATCCTTAAAATTACTAAAACTAAATTGTTTCTGCGTATGATGCAACTTTTGCTTCAGTGTATTGCTTCAATGTAAGGTCTTTCAAATCTATAAAAGAAATTTATCCAAGTTAACAGGTTAAACACCAGTGATCATTTACCAATATAATTATTTTAAAGTCTTTCCTCTCCGTGTCTTTAAATGTTGGCACACATAATGAGAGTTTTCATGACTATCATCATGTAATTCTATCAATTTAATGCATCTTTGTTAATCTCTTTTATAGGTCCCTTTAGATGGAATATAATACAGTAGAAGCCTTTTCATCAAAAGGATTAATGCCTGCATTATCATTTCTGCAATAAAACAGAAAGCTAAGTGGTAGCAGACACACACACCTCAACCTGGATTCCACAATTCTACATTAAGTGCTGGAGTTTTTATTACTCTGCTGAAAGAAAGCCTTTGCCAATGCTTACACGGAACTGTTTATCCCTGCTTCTCTGGGTCCTATTTGATGGAGGTCTCCTAACACCACTTCAACCACAGCCACAACAAACTTTAGCCACAGAACCAAGAGAAAATGTTATCCATCTACCAGGGCGGCGATCACATTTCCAGCGAGTTAAACGTGGCTGGGTATGGAATCAGTTTTTTGTGCTGGAGGAATACATGGGCTCCGAACCTCAGTATGTGGGAAAGGTAATGACGTGTTTGTTTTGACAACCACTTGGTAGCCAGGGGGATTATGCATTATGTATTGTGTGTGGCTGTTTTGCGCAGGAGTTGAACAAACCAGTGACTAGAACACTGGAATCGAAATCCAACAGATCTGATTCATTGGCCCGGGTAAGCTTTGGATTATCCCTTAATTGCCCTTTGCTTCAAATAACTGTGGTTATTTTAATGAAGTTATTATATATTATGTTCTTACTTTTGACATTTATGCTAGAGACATGAATTGAAAATATATAAATGTTGTTAAAAGTGTTGGTATAGTACATGTTTTCCTTGAAGGTGAATTCTGGGGTAATCTTCCAAGGAAAGACCCAGAAAAAGAAACACAGGCACAGTTATCCTAAGTGGTTATTGACATCCTACAGAGATCAGGGTATCTCCCTTCTCCCTTAAAAACATGACAGAGTATTTGAGTTGTGGCTCAGAAATATTTGATTTGACTTGCTTATGCTTTATAAATAACTTAGTATATGTTTTGCGGATTATTTATGAACCTATTTAAGGCCAAAGTAATACATGTCAGAACCGAAGTTTCTACACATCAGTCTTCAGTAGAGGGCATGATTTTGAAATCTTATTTCAAGTTTGCAGATCCTTTTTTTTTTTTTTTCATAAAATAGTTGCTAGTAACTATTTCAGTACTTTTATGTTATTTTTATATGTAAAATTTTTGACTTATGTTTAGAGTAGATGGAACTCTCCAATGCTGCCAAAAATATTTTTGAGGAAAATTTCTTGTTTTGATTTTTTTTATTTCCAAAATATTTTCTATATTTTATAATAAAAATAGAGAAGCATAAATGTTTAATATAACATAAAAAAAATCTTTAAGTCAAACACAAAAATGAGAAACCGTAGCAGGAAGATTATCAGGAAGCTTATACAGAAAGATTATGTCACTTGACTATCAAAGTCTATAGAATTTTCTGAAAATCAAAACTGAAGAGAAGCATGATGAGTTGTATGATTCCAGTGTTAGATCAAAGGAATGATGAAATCTATTCAAGGTCTAAATTATATGCACTATATTTGTAGAATTTATCCTTTGCAAAGGCAGTTAAAGAATGTTGAATGATACAGTGGATAAGGTCTATGAGTGGAATTTTTTTTTATTTGAAAATGAACACATAGTCAAGTTGTTCTAAAGTGTATGTGGTCCTAGACTAATATTTTTTTATGAGACAAATCTCTGTATATAAAAGTTGGGTCACACTAAATCAGCCTTTGTGTGCCATTCTGGCAGTCTTAATTCTAGTGTTGTACAAAAAAATACATATAGTGACATTAAGTAGAACTACTTTCTTGGCAGACTACTTATAACTAAATGCGGGCTAGCTGTGTGACCTTTGGACAACTTTATGAATGCTGGTACAGGTGTTCTGTGGGGTATGCGGTGAACCTCAAAAATGAATGGATATTCAGGGAGAGGCTTACAGAGGAAACACGGACATTGAAGCCCAAGTGGTTCCCATGCAGCTGAGGGTACTCCATGCAGATGCATCTATGTCCCCACATAACCCAGGAAAATAGCTGTGTAAGAAAAATGTGAGGAAAACATGAGAACCCTGATGTGATTGCATGTGAGCATATATGCTCCTCTTTGTTATCATCTAATATATAATCACAAAGTCATTTCTATGTGACATAATTCCATGTTGGTTTTGGTAAAGTTGTTTATTTGCGTTAACTTATATAGGATGGAGTTTTGAAATCCAGGACAAGTAAAAAGGTAAAATGGTTCTAAAACTCTGCCTCGTGAATATCAGTTATCTGGACTGAGTGTGTGACAGGAGCAGACATTGCATTGAGGTGCCTGGCAAATATCTGATGAGAGGGTATTCTTTGGTTCACACTGAAGCAGATCCATGGGCTTTTGTTGCTAGAATCTGATGTGAGAAAGTTGACATTTGTTGAAAAATTAATGAAACTGACTTCTAGACAGAATAGGATTTCACATTGCAGTGGGTAAAGGTAAAAATGATCTAAGAGTTGCTTACATAAGTTTTGCCTGAAACTTTGAAATCTACCTTTGTAATTCTTCAATAGAGTTTGGAATGATATTTATAAGTAGTTTAAAAAGTGTCAATCTAAGATCTAACCTATTAAATTAGAGCGTATTTTCACAGGCATATGGCACCTCATGATAATTTGAAATATGTAATGAAAGCCCCTGGTTCTCAGGCAATGCATATTTTTAATACTAATGAAACAATAGTTGCCAAGATTTCCTTTCCAACATGGAAAGTAATTAAACCTTAATTAACTCTGTCTTAATGATTCTAATGTGAGGACAGTGGTGTAATTGGGAGCAATTCCAACCACTACATGTATGTGTGTAAACATATACAAATATTTTTATGCTCCTGTTCTTTCTAGACTGTGAAACATTTCATTGAAAAATGAATTTATTAAATATTATAGAAATCAAGGCTAAAGAAAAAGACCAATGCAAAGTGCCAAGCCTGGTGACCAGCTGAATTACTACAACTGGCCTTCAGATTTGATGTGTCTTTGCAACAGAAGCATTTATGAAAATGTGAATTTGTATAGTTCTCATTATTGAAAGTTTCACTTATTGAGAGAATAAAAAAAAAAAACCTTACCTTCAAATCAAAAAGAATTTCTTTATAGAGTTTAAAAAACAGATACTAAGTGGTTTAGTGAATATTAAACTCAACAATTATTATTTTTAAAGGAACTAATATTAATGTTAAAATGTTTTCAAATAAGACCAAATGCATTTCTGTTTATAATGAATATTACTTGAATTTATAGACAAAGAATTCTCAAGATATTCAGAGGCAATACCAATTCTTTCCTCAGACAATTATTGTAGATTTACTAAAATGTCTGGGTACCAATAAGGTGTCATTAGAGGTTAGCAGAAATTAATTTGATCAGCTATATGTTTAAATTAAAATGCCATCAGTTTCTCAGAGCCATTAAAATACACATACACAAACTCCTGTAATATTAAACACACACACAGAGTTTATAACTTAGGCTAAAATATATAACTAGGTGCCTACGTCTGTCTATGCCACAGTCTCAGATCTGCATTCTAAGAAGATGCTTTCCATTTGATATTTGAAAAAGAACTTAAGGAAATGAGGTAACCGTCCAGGTTACCTCAGTGATGTTTAAAACTAGGTGGTTTAACATGGCAAAAATATTTAAATATATGTAATTCCTAACTTCATAGGCATCAATTCATTCAACATGCTTTTGATTGAGAATACTTTACAATTTGAGAAAGTTAAGCATAATGGAGATGGATTGAAGTGTGAAGGTCCTTAGAATGCAACTGTAATAGGTACAACTTACTGAGTACTTCTTTGGATATTGCTTTAATTGCTTTACCAACACACCCATTGATGTAATCTTTGAAACAACATCATGGGGGAGATTACTAATGATCCCATTTTCATCTCAGAAAACTTAGGAACAAAAAGTTAAAGTAACTTTTCCAGGGCCCAACATTCACTAACTACTGAAACTAGATTATGACCAGAAGAGACACAGGGTTAATCCATATATAGATGCTAGTCACAATCACTTAGGTGGGTAATATGTTAGGAAAATTTGCAGAGTTAAAAAATCACATTAAATTTTAACTGTGAAACAAATGAGTAAGAATTAAATAAAGTGAATTAGTCAGAGATAAAATTAAGTGGTAAATCGTGTCATGGAAAATGACTTAAAAATGGGAAATGACAAGGTACACTGGCCGATTCAAATTATGAATGAAAAGACTACAGGTTTTGGCAGTTAGTGAACCAAGTTGACCCTCTCCAAGTGGTGGTAATGATTCTCTCTAAGCTTAAAGAACGAGCAGATAGCTACAGCCAGCAAATGATGTTTCGGAAATGTAGGTGAGTGATATTGATCTATGTTGGATCTACTCGGCTGAAAGTATGTGAGTGTGTTTAGAAAGATATTTTTTATTTTACTTTCTGTGTTTTTATTTATTTGTTTGTTTATTTTCTGGATGGGAAGGCTTCATGACCCCCTCCCTTGCGTATATATATTTGTGCATGTCCTCTTTTTCTTATATCTGTATATTCAAAATATTGTTTGGTCAAATTGTTTGGTGGTGATAGATGAAGATAGATGGAACAAGGCTACTGAAATGAGGGAGAAGAAGGATAAATACCGAATACGTTCACTTATATGTGGAATCTAGAAAAACTAAACAAAGGGTCAAAGGCAGACTGTGAGATTGACTTGAAAGCAGACCATGTTTGAGAAAATCAGGTGAGGGGAGCAGAGGGAAGGGGGAAGAGTTAGAGATTAGGGTGGAAGGAAAGCTGGCGGAGAGTCCGGGAAACTGTGGTTACTGCCCCTGAAGGGAAAAACCCTATATCGTGAAAAAATAAACAAACATAAGGATACTTAAAAAAATTAACAAATATAATAATTTTAAACAGTGAGGAAAGCAAATAAATAATAAAATAAATATCACCCTTTCACTGTGAGGCTAGATACAGGTATTCATTCATTGTACATAAAAATAAAGACAGTAATACTGGGTTTAGTGCCCAGTATCAAAATCACTTCTAACTGTTCTTTATCTATTATTCTTATTGAAATAGGTTCTATTTTTGGTCCATCTTTATCTCTTTTACCCCTTTGATCCTTTTTCCTTTCTCACCCCTCTTAAACTCAGGATTCTCACTTCTCTCAATAGTGTTTTTGTAGGGATTTTGCTCTTTTGACTCATCCTCTGTAGAAACTTCCTGTACTCCTAATGTCTGTTTAGTTCTTCAGTTGCTTTACTAGATATAGTTTCTAGAGACTCTTTCCGTTTTGATGTAAATGGCAACATTTCATTCATTCTTGTGGCTGAATAATGTTCCATTGTATAGCTGTAGCACATAATCTTAACTCAATCATTTATCAATAGGCATGAGCCTGTCTCCACATTTTAGCTCTTATGAATAATTTAAACTTCCATATTAAGACAC